GCATGAATGACAAAAACTGATAAAAGTTAAACATAAAAATAAACATAAAAAATACAGAATTTATAATTTCTGAGATGTCAGAAACAATGTCGATTGTATAAAATAAATGTTTAAATTTAAATCCGATGCTGTGTGAGTATATATTATTTACTATATATTATATAAATATATCAACGTTATCGAAAAATAAAAAATAATAAAATAAATTGTAGAAAAAATTATTCATCGTCTTGAGATAATCAAATAAAATGTGTAGTTATAATTTTATCACAATATGCTTATATTCTTTATATTGTTTTAATTATATTGTTTTATTAACAAATTTATATTATGAAATGTATAATCTAAAAAATATAAAAGTAAATAAGAAGTAAAAATAAATATTTTTAATAAAACTATAATTTGAAATTTCATTATTCTAATAAAAACTTATTTTGGAAAATAAAAACATTTGTCGAAACATTTTCTGAAGCAAGACAGCTTCGTTGTGACGAAACGATATCACCCGCAGTTGAAAAAATTCTCTCTGATGCGACGGATGTTGCGGGAACACATATTTTTTGCTAACTGGGCCAGTTGTGGAAATTTTTTTTCGTGCGATTTCCACCATTGAAAAGGATCCATATTAATATCAATTTGTGGTTCGCAAAGATACAATGGAATCTGCTGAGCTACTGAAGTCAAAGGTGTATGATTTTGAGGCTTCTTGAAAAAAAAATCTAGTGCACCATTTGTAAAAGTTTGTATACTCGGTTCGAACTGTTGGAATAAAAGATGTTGCTTCCAGTTCAATCACCTCTCTAATCGCAGTCCGCTGCAAAATTGATTCAGCTTGAAGATCTTTATGACGTGGATCTAAAAATGATGCTTTTTGATATATTGATATATTTTCCTGTGACTCCATTTGAAAACGAAGAGATAATGCCTCCGCTAACGTTCTTGATATGTCTCCAGTTTCGTTAGACAAATGATTGGTAATTACAGTTCGAATTATTGGACGCATCATTGATGATGAAGTTCCAGATAATACTGTGGTTGCAAGTTCAAGTGGTTTTAGCACAGGTAATAAAGTTTCAAGCATTCTCTATTCATCTTCATTTATTTCTAAATTTTTGGCTTTTAAGAGAGTT